CATTTATCACATCGTGGTCCATAAGTCCTAAAATATCAAATAATAATAATTTTCTTTATTTTCATTAACAATAACTTACATATGATAATCATGTAAACAAAAAAGATTTTGATTTTTATCTGTTATAAATGGCACACCATCTAAACAAATTGAACATTTTAAACATTTAAAACATGTTAAATGATATGAATGACCAAGTGCTTGTAAAATCTAAGTGTAATTTAAATATAAACTAATCAATTTAAATAAAACTACTATTCATACTGTATCTGTAATTAAATGACCACAAGCTATACAATTTTCAAGTGTTTGATGAAACCCTGTATACTAAAAAAACAAACAAGTAAATAAATAAAACAAAATAATTTTTTTTATTAAAAAAATAATCTTTTACCAAAAAATCTTCTTCACAATATAATTGATCTTTAACAAAAAAATGTTTATTTTTCACTGGTCGTCCACATAAAACACATACAGCACATGAACTATGATAGATTTGACCAAGTATATCACAGGCATCATCGGAATTTACTATTGTTTCACCACATTTTCGACATTGACCCATTGAATATTCTTTTATTATTGATCCATTAATTGTTTCATGTCTATGATTATTATTAATAGATAATGAATTAAATTGATGTTTAAGTATATGAGAATTAACAATATCATTTCGTTTGACTGTTGATGATATAACAGGTGATCGATAAATCATTTGATTTGTAGGTTTTGGTGATGCTGATGAATTAAAATCAGGAATAATTACTGAATTCGTTTGATGACATATAGGTGAACCTCGTGGTGGAATAGCTGGTGGTTGAAGTGGATAACGTGGTGGTGGTGGTGGAGGTGGTGGTGGATCACGAGGTGATGATTGAGTTATATAAAGTTGTGTTGAATTAAGATACGTTGTACTAGTTTTCATTCCACTTGGTGAAAATTGAGGTAGAATATTTGTCCGTTGAAGATTATTATTATTTATTGTTGATGATACTTTAGGCATACGAGCAGGTGGTGGAGGTTTTGTATCGGAACTTCGATGTGGCGATACAAATGAATAATATCCTTCTGAATAATATACAATAAACAACTGAATTATTGATATATTTGTTTCTTACCTGTTGTTGATTGTTGTTGTCTTGAACAATGAATAGAATCATTTGGTGTTGATGGTAATGAATAAGATATAAATGGTGTTACCGTTGGATTTGGACTATTTTGTTGTTGATGATTTGAATAATAATGAAATGATGGTGAATGTAATGATGATCGAGAATTTTGACGATTAGCTAAAGCTTTATTAAATATACTTTCTTCATATGATGGTGGAGCATGATTTGGTTTTGGTGAAGATTGTGTTGGTGATGATGATGATGAAGTTTCCCAAAGAACATTTGTTATATCAGGACGTGATGATGGTGAAACAACAGAATAAAATGTTTGTTGTTTACCCGGAATAAAATTTCGATTATCAAATGTATGTGCCATTTAGACTCGATGTATGTATGTATGTATGTATATATGTATGTATGTGTATAATGTTTTACCTGTATAGAAGAGAACGAAAAAATAATTTTATCTTCGTTGAATAATTTTGAACGTGCCTTCTTTCAAACGAATGAACTAGAGCGACGTTGGAATGTGTGGAATGTGATTATATATATATATGTGTTTGTTCTCCTTTCGGATTAAAACGATATTTCTTCTTTTCTTCTTCGTTCGCTTTGAACGTTTTCTTTGTTTTTTTTTCTTCCCCACGTCGTTTAATTGCAAAATGCCATACGAAACAAATGAATATAAAAACGAGAGAATATGAAGACAGATTTTTTCTTCCTCTTCACACGCACTCTTTAATATCGATATCAAGCTGTGCATATATATTTATATATGATCGACTTAAAATTCCAATTCACGCCTTTAACTATTTTAACAGAAAGAGAAAAAAAATGTCAAGCAGGTGGATCAGTCAAGACAAGATTATCTAATATAGACATTCATTGTTTTATTCGATGTTAATAGTTCGAATGATAGCTCTTCTCATTGAGTAATTTGTTATGCGATCGATTATGAGAAAAATAAAATGACAAGTGGCTTTTGAAATTTCACATGGACAAGAGAAAAATTATTTCCCAGAAAGAATTCAAAAAACAAAAATAGAACTTTTTTTTCAACTAATATACTGAGTGAGACAAAATGATTGCAACATTAGGCATTTTTCCAAATATCTCACCATAGATAAATCATATCATCTCTATTTTTTTCTGAAAAATGCATCCATCAAATTTTCTATAAAAACGATAATAAGAAACCTCATTGAATTGGTACAATGGTTTAATTACAAGGTTAAAAACTGAATTACTATGTGATAATGAAATGTCCGATTACTCTAAGAGAAACAAATGAAAATAACATTAATTATTTAGAATATATTTCATCACGAATAAATCATAAAACCTCGAATTATTTTTTTTAATATGTATTCTATAATTGTTTACTACTTGTCCATGAAAAGATCTTTTTGAACTGTGTTCATGACTTTTTTAGATGACAAAAAGTAAAGATCTTCGTAATATCGTCATTTGCAGTCGTTTACTCCTAAAACTCGGTGGCCTTCTAACTCACTAGACTTAAATTCATTGGATCACTCTATTTGGGTCAGTGCTGATAAGAACATTAATTATCCAAAGGTCAAAACATGCGAAGATATGAAAAAAAAGATACAAGAAGCGTGCCAAAAAATTGATGTGTGTTATGTTGCAAAGTGATCGATTCTTTTCTTCGAAAAGTTCATGCTGTTAAAGAGCATAATGGTGATTATTTTTTTCATGAACAATCATGCCTTTTATATCATTTTATATCAATATTTTTGGAAAGTATATGATAATATCATAAAGTATATTGTTTGAAATAAAAAGAAAGTTTTCCTTTTGTTCCTCGTCGAATAATGAAACATTTCATCATAACACAGTACTTCAGTTTTAGCCTTATAATAAAATCATCATACCAATTCAATGGGATCTCTTATTATCGTTTTTGTAGAGAATCTGATAAACGCATCCTTCAAAAATAAAATTAAGTTTATATGATTTATGTGTGATGAGATATTCGCAAAATACACAATGTTTCAATCATTTAGCTTTGTCTGATATGAACTACTAATTTAACTATTATTTATATCACAATAAAATCCAGGAAATATCTGAGCTTATATTTTAGAATTCATCTCTTTTTTTTGTTGTAAAATCAAGATACGATGAAGATATTTAATATGAAATTTGATTATTCGAAAATTGATGAATCAAAAAAACAGTATTTTTCTTGAATGAATGTCTATCGAAAAGTTTATTGAAAATTTTTGAAATGTAGTCATTTGACAAGAATTCTTTTTTTTTGATTGGCTAGTTCATTATTTTAGAAATAACCGAATATCATACAAAATCAGTAATTTATCCAGTGTGGACAGTGGCGGTTCTCCGAAGATTAGGTTGGCTTGCCCAGAATTTTAAACATGGATGTTCACAAAGGGAAGAGGGTTGATCTCTCTCTCTCTCTCTCTCTCTCACAAAAATTTGCACTTTCAATTTACAGTGTTTGTGTTTGTATCGACATTGTATGAAATAATCAATGTGAACTGTATGATTGCGCCAACACTTTGTTTGTTGTAGTTAATGTCAAATATACGTATGATATAGATTGATTCTTAGCTATCTTTGATCTATTTTTATTGATTTTCATCGGTGGTTTGATATACTTTTATCAAATTTGAAAAAAAATTGAAAGTAAGTACCGCAAGCAATCTTGATATTAATTGGTGACAAAAAATATGTCATTCTGCAGCTGGATCAGGCAGTAGTGAATGGTCCTAATGGTACGCTAGTTTCATTTCGTATAGGTCTTTAAGTCAAAAAATATTATTACTTATCGCTTATTCTTTCTATTAGTTATATACTAAATGGAAAATATCACTACCGAAAAAGTTCAATTAAATGATCATCAAGAAGATCTGGACACATGATATTTTGTATAAAGTAACCAATTTATTTTAGAGCTTTAGCAATAAACCATTCTCCGAAATAGACGATCCCCTCCCCCAATATTAGAAGCCTCTTCTAGATGTATCGATGTAAAAAAAGACGTATTAGAAGTCCCAGTGCTTCTGTTGTATCCAGACAACTTCAGTTTTTTAGAGCAAGGCTGCTTCGTTGATGCTATTAAATTAGTCTTAGTCAGGCGCTGTCTACGTATAGAAGTGTTTCTCTAGACGCTAAATATTCATGATTAAGAATAATCTCTAGAAATCATTTTCATTTTTTGCCGACGTCGGAACTCTGTAACCGTTACTTTGTTTAAGAACAGGTATTTGAAAATAATTACAGATTAACAAATTCATATTTCTTCTGCTCGTAATATCATGATAGAGTGTTAATGTTGATATGTGAGTCTTCTCTTCAGTGACAACCGCACCCAAGTAATATTAGTAGCTATGCTCTTCTATGAAATTTTTGAATGCTTGAATATTTTAGAAACATTAGTGACTTCTAGTGCGATGCGAGATTTAGTATTAATTTGGATGATTTTAGTGAAAGTGTAATTCAAACTGATTTTTATCTTAAACAATAATGTATTTGAGATACAAGTGAAATCGATTGCTAGGTTTTTAGGTATTGAACAAAATTCAAAAACAGGTACTCTTCATCTACGTCTTGGTTGGGTAACAGCTTTGCCCAAATCGAAAGAAAAGTCAACCAATGATTTTGAAATATTAATTGTCGATGAAAAATTTTGAAAATATCTTTTTTGTTTATTTTATTTTATTTCGAAATATTTCACTATAAACTAAACAATTCATATGGAATTTTGTTTTAATCATCTATTGTTTGTTCAAATAATGCTTTGACAATATCATCAGGATTAAATAACTCTGTACGCATTTGTTGTCCTGTCTCCCAATCATAAAAATTTGGTGCAATAAGTTGTAAATAAGAATCATCTATAATTGATAATGATGATTGTTGATCATAATTTCCATAAATTCGAACAGTTTTATGTGCATCAAGTTCAAATGCAGGAAATCTATAATTAATACGTCGACCATCAATTGTTCGTTCAATATACCATCCAGTAAGATCATGTGATTGATTACCTATATTTTCAATATCAACAAAACAACCTTGAATATCAACAAATTTAATACGAATCTTTCCTAAACAAAAAAAAAAAAAACTTTAAAATAATTTGAAAAAAAAAGTTTTGTTTTTCATTTTAACCTTTATATTTACGTTTAACATGAGTTATACTTTGTACATATTCTTCATCACGTTCGGAAATATCTTGCTCATTTTGATTCATACTCATATTTATTTGTTGTTGCTCATCCATTTCATGAACAAAAGGTCGTATTATTTGTGTTGTCGTCTTTTGATTTTGATTAAGTATATTTTGTTGAATTTCATATTGATCACGATGAATATTTTCATTATATGTTGTTGATATAATATCTCTTGATACAAGTGGAGATTGATATTTTAATGAATGATCAATATCTGTTGTTCTTGTAATACTAGTTTTGGATAATCCAGAATGAGTTGATTTATTATAAGATGAATGAACATCTTTTTCTCGATCTAATGAATTTAATAAAGCTTCATAAATTTTTAATTCTTCTTCAATACTAAAACGAAGTGTATAAGCTAATTGATCTAATTCATCTTTTAATGCATAATATTCTGCACGTGTTAAATCAGTATCGTGTTCAAGTCGAGCATGTTGTTCAACATATTTAAGTGCTTGTGTTTTTGCTTGGTTTTCAAGATCTTGTAATAGTCGTCGTTTATGTTGAGTTTCTTCAACTAATCTTCGATAATCAGATTCGAGATGATCATATTCTTTTGTATGTTCCTGAAGATGATTTTCGAAATGTTGAGTTTCTTCATGACATTGTTGTTCATCTAAAAAGAAATAGATTCAATAGAAAGAAAATGATTGAAGTTCAATTTAAACCATTTTCATTAATAGATAAATTCATATGAATTTTATCTTGTATTTCTTTTAATTTTGTTATTAATTCCATTTCAATATCCATTTGTTGTTCTTTAAGCATTTGTTCATAATCAATTTGTAATTGTTGTTTTATTGTTTCTAAAGAATCTCGATAAAAATTTCTTGAATCCTGTGTTAAACGATTTAATAAACGTTTCCATTCATTAATTTCTTCTTGATTATAACCTAAACGAAGATTAAAATGTTCTTTAAGTGATTGAATTTCATTTAATAAATTTTGTTTATCTAATGCCATTTGTGACCATTCTGATAGATAAGTACGAAATCTAGTTAATTCGTTTTGATAATCATCTTCATGAGATTTTATTTGATCGTTACTTATATCAAGTCGAAGTTGAATTTTATGTAATTCATCTTCTAATTGATTTATTAAATCAAATAATATGTCATGTTTATCATTATATGAGTTGAATACATCAAGAAAAATC